AATGTAATTGCTTTTATTACTTAATAAAGTTTCTACTTTGGCATAACAAAAAAAAAAAAAAAAAAAAAAAAAAAAAGAGCATTAAGAGGACTAAACTCATTTTGGCTTTCCAGAAGTCATGAATGCATAAGTATCATGTTAGAAACAGTTTTTTCACTGATAGTTGCTTTATCATTAGTGATTGTAAAACCCACTCTTGAAAATGCCCTTTCACTAGAGACACTTGAAGGTTTAATACTTAGATAATTGCATGCTATTTTACTAAGTATTAGAAAACTTTTTGATAATAATTTCCAAAATAGTATTCTATTATTTTCTTTTTTTTTAATGTTATTTGTAAAATCTTCAAGTAACTCATCTTCATATAATTCTAATTTGGATTCAATCGAGTTTTTATTGTATTTTCTTTTTTTTGAAATTCTTTTAGGAAATAAAAAATTGTATATAAACTCATTATTAATATTAATAGTTACAGAAACTTCAATATTTAGAGGTTCTGTATTTGTATATTTTGTTTCATAAGAAATAATCTTTTTTTGAATATTATTAACAAACAGATCTACTTTATTTTTACTATATCTACTGACTTCAATTAACGTTGCTTTTAAATGCTCCAACTTATATCTTGGATCAAGTATATGTATGATTATGATATGATTGATAATTATGTTCCAGTATTTGTTAAATTTTTTTTTCATATAGCAACCTATTCTAGTGCTAATTTTTTTAATATATTGACCAATCTCTAATATTACCATAATTGCATCAGAAATTGAATTAGATTGTTCTTTTGAAAGCATTAATATGGCACTTTCAAATGGCTTAAGAAGTTGACAGAAGGCTTTAAGTGCTGCAAACTCTTTATTGTCTAAACAAGAGGGCATAGAGGATTCTTTTAAACACATCTCACGAATGGCTGGATGTAGATAAATATATCTCTTAAACATAGCCAGCATAGAGTTTCAACACATGTCTATTTCAAGAATAGGTTGCAAAGGTTTTATTTTAAAAATTCGACAGTATGATCTTAATATTTCTATTTTATCACTAGATAAGAGATTAGATAAGTATTTCATAATTTTATGAACCTTCTCTTTCAACTGGCTTATTTCCTTTAAGCCTTCTTTAACTATAAGGTTGAGGATGTGACACATGCATTCTAAAAAAAAAAAATCAAAAAATTATTATTATTAATTAAAAATTAAATAGATAATAAAAAATCAAACCTATTGATATTAATTCTGAATTTAGCAACTCATTTTTGAGTAACCAACTTACAGCTTTATTTGTAGTAGTGTTATTCATAATAATTGAACTATTTTTTCTTTGATAGAATATGCTTTTAAAGTGGCTATTATTGTTGATAATATATTATCTGCTGTTTGCCCAAATTTTTGGAAACTTAAAATTATATCAACTACCTTCCAATCATCACTAATCCATGACTCTGTAACAACAATATAGTGACACCTATGAATGGTTAAATGCCACTCATCACATGTTAGTGAAATTCGCCCAGAAGACTTGGCAAGTATATTCTTGATAAAGTCAAATCTTAAATTAAATATATCACTTATAAGATGTCATGATATTGTTGTTGAATATGGAATTTTATACAAATGTTTAACATATTGGAGATTTCTAGCCATTTGATAAAACAATAAGCTATCAAGAATATTAAAGAACATTCCTGTACTAACAACCAAGTCAACTATTAACTTATTCATTTCATTTTTTGTAATCTTCAAGAATGCTTTGATTTGAGTATCAGATAGTAGAGATTTAGGATATCACAAAGTAGTATGTTCTTTTAAGTATGTTCTACTTGTATTTATTAAATACATCTTTACACAATGTTGGCATTTCCAAACTTTTTGATTTTGATTATCTTTTAGTATTATAGCTTTTCAGTAGTCATTATGAGAATACATATCACAGACTATTTCTGTTCTGGTTTTGCTTAGTATTGGGGTACTAGAAACAGTATCATTAGGAGATGGTATAGAGTCTTTTATTATCAAAAAAGAATTCAAAAAAAGCAAGAAAAAGCAAATATAAAATAAGAAAATAAATAAAAGATGATATAAGACAAGATAAAGAGATTTAATGCAAGAATATAAAAAATCAAGATAAAATATAAGTGCTATTTATTTATACTTTTTTTTTATTTTTTATTTTTATTTTTATTTTTTTATACATTAATATAATTAATTATTTAATTTAGCTTAATCATATATCTGATATGATTATAGTCACTTACTTTGCATCTATTGTTTAGAATTTAACATGATAACTAGGGTGCTGTTATAGATGAAAGCCTTCTTAATTTTCACACTATAACGACGACACAGTACAGGGAATCCCTTACGGGTATATGCGGTGTCCAAGAGGGAAGTATAGCTTCTATTAGACGTTGTCAAGAAACTATA